ATCTATCATAGTCGAGTGGCGACGGCTCCTCCTCTACGATGTCACATTACGCCGTCGACTCGACTAATGAAGAGCTTTGAAGGGACTACGATGCTACAAAGGAAGCGATAAATGGGATGTATGTGTTACAAAACGAGCTCTAAAGCTAGATCTCGCAGTAGTAAAGCCAAATCTCAAAGCGGCATTAGACTATTTATAGTCCGAAATCTCGATACGACTCGATGACATTCTTAGTGATGAAGGCTGGCAAAAACAATCGGGGTTCCTATAGATCCATTAATTACTTAACAATCTACTCGTTTCTTCCACAAAGCCTCCATTCCCCATTCGATCAATCCTCTTGTCGAGCCCACCACACAATATTAAGAGGAGGATATGAGATTAGACGAGTAGGATAAGTGATAGGGCATTTAGTAACTTTTTATTTTTTATTTTTTTTTATGAAACCTACTTTAGAATGGTATTGTTAATATTATTTCATTTTGAATATATAAGTTGTTACTTATTATTATTAATTATTAAATGCAATATTAATAATTTAAAAATAATTAAAAATTTGTCAAAAACATAAAATAAAATTAGCGACGGAATTGCGACGACTTAACGACAAATTCATTTTCAAATTTAGCGACGGAATAACGATGGCCTAGCGACAAAATCATTTTCAAACTTAGCAACAGATTAGCAATAAATTCATTTTCAAACTTAGTGATGGACCGACGTAAGACTAGCGATAAATTCATTTTCAAAATTAACAACATAATAGAGATGAAATAGCAACAAATTATGTAGCAATAGACATAGTGACGGAATAGCTATGGAAGAAACAACAGATCCCATGACAAGATTAGTGACAGATTTTTTTCTGATTAGTGACGGATAGTTCCTCGCTAAACCTTACAACGAAATGAATTTTCCATCATAAAAAATTGGCAACGAAAATTTTTTCGTCCCTGTTTCGTTGCTAATTGAGATTAGCGATGGAATTTTATCAAATAGTGATAAAATTAAGAACAAAATTAACATAGGGCAAGAGCAAATAAAGATTGGCTATCTGTATATAATTAGTTTTATCCCAATTTCCAATAGCTCTGACTTGTGCCATGTGAGAGACATGAAATAATCAAGGCAGCTGCACAACATTAGAATGTCTCGAACTTTGGATCCCAAGTTTGTGTAAGAGTACGGACAGTTAAAATATTAAATTTAAGGATTGTTTTTGCAGACCCTATAATCATGACTTCAGTTCTAGCTAGCAAGTCCATCAGATGAGGGAGAAACACACTAGAACTGTAGTGGGTGTTGGGTTTTGCACAGGGAAAAGGGTGACGAATCTTCCTCAGTAGCATAGTCTTTGCTGTTAATTTTGTCCTCAGTAGACCGTATTGAGGTCATGCAACGTAAGCAATATTAGGGTAAAACATGATTTCTTTATTTATTGATGTTTTCTTGGACCCTCTTTATTTCTTACTGTTCCTGTACGATATTCAACCCAGAAAGTTTAACTTTGTTCTGCAAATTTTTTGGGGTCATTTAAAAAGAAAAAGTAGAACTGATGATGATGGCGGTAGTAGTAGAAACTGGCAAACTGTGGCAGCGTCAAAAAGGACGTCAGTCTGCAAAGCTACTACACACACATATATACATATATCGTGATCAAAACATAGGTACATGTACAAGTCCCTAGACTGAATAAGTTATAATTCTGCTTTGCCCTCTCTGATCTGCACCATTATGTTTTTCCTATTTCTATCTGAATTCTGAAACAGAGGTGGGTTAGAGCTTTCGTCACCGAGCTGCCAAAACAAACGTGATGGTCACATGGTAATGGAAGAGAGACCATGATTTTATTTTATTTTATTATTATTTTTTTGTTTGGGGGGGGGGGGGGGGGGGGGGTGGGGGGACGGGACTAATGGCAGTGTTGAATCCTTTTCTAAAGCTTTTGTATGTCTCTTATAGAAAGTCCATTTATATATCGTTTTATCCCCATATATCTTCAATCCTTATCTCTCAGAAGCTAGTTGTGGAATATATAGCAATGATTTGCTTTTTATCCATATGATCTCTTTGTTTGAACATTGAAATGCCAGCCTTGCTCTTTTGTTGTTTTTGCTTTTGAATTGAAACCCAGTACAGCTAGCTTGTAATTAACCTTGACCAATGGTTGCACTTAGTGCTGTCATTTCCCAAACTTCCATGTGAAGTGGGCAAGTGTATGTATATGTATATATATATATATATGATGAGTCTACAACAAAAATTTAGAGATAAAATTGGAGGTATGCACAAATTTTCTTCATGACCATCATCATCATTATTATTTGCCAGTACGTAGATGGATATATAGCAAGCAGTAAACAAGATGTGAATTATATGGTACTTGGAATCTGGCAACTTCGAGGATGCTAACAATTAATAAGCCATGTAAACTAAAGAGAGGATGCCATTACTTGGAATGTCTGGTTAGTGAGGAACCTCAAATGGCAAAAGAGTACGGATTGGATAAATTTAAGGTAATTTTCAGACGCCAATAATCATGGGTCGAAGTTCCATTTGAACATTGAAGGGTCAGTTGAAAGATAGATATCATAGAGTCTATTGTTTGCTTTGCTATGTTTCACAAGGAAGGCAATACCCATCCTTTTAGGCTTTCATGTCCCACTAGCTAGGCACCTAAGGACATACCCATGTATCATATATTCAACTAGCTGCCATATATTGGTCCCACATTTTGCAAGGTCCCATTTCTTTTCTAAGTCGTAACCCTATAGTAAGAGGAGGTTGATCATTATGGTGTTATCAAGCTTGTGCCTCAGTCACAACTGATACGTCTCAAATAAAAAATAAATAAATAAAAGAAAAAAGAACGAGCTGTTATTGATATTTGATAGTTTACCCACTTCGTTGGCCCATGAAAAGGTATAAATGTCAACTGAAATCACATGCACAAAGCATGCAAAGGTGACACAAAATTTTTAATGTCCTCTCAAAGGGCACATTGGATTCCTCTTTCGACAGAGAGATTGGATGATATTACAAAGAGATGAGGAGTCTGTTGTTTTGTCCTCTCGAGTCCATTCGGTCCGGTCATTGTTTTGTAATTTGTTGATGGGATTTTCTTAAATTCTTTGAAGATTTACTTTATTTATATACTTTGTCTCACTAATTAAACAATAAAGATCTAAAGATTCTTCCCAATGAAGAAGCATTCGGTTAAATTTCAAGTGAAAATTTAATTGAAGGAGTCTTTTCAAGTGAAAAAGAATCACTTGATCGACGATCATAAAGGTAGAAAGTAAAAAATAACCAGGACCCAAGAAAACATTCAATAGTGTCATCTCTCTCTGTCTCTCATGTGATGAAGCAATTGAGGAACTGCTAAGGCACGTGATGCCCATTTGGTGAGGGAACAAAACACAATCATGTTGCTTTCCCTTTTTTCTTATTAAGTATATATATGCTTTTCGTTTGCAGAATTATTGTATTTTGTATTGATGTGAGATGCAGTTAAGTAATTTCCTTGTCACTTTCTATTTGGCCATTCAAGGCTGATTATCATGATGAGAAGAATTTAGTGAGGAAACTTCGTCTGGTTAGTGTTACAAAGTGGAGACATCTAAGAGAACCTGACATTCTTAAATGGCTCAAACTTAAAAGAATGTAACCAGTACCAGTACCGGTACCAGTACCATGCATGCTTTAGTCATATCTTATGATCAGATAAAAAGAAGTACATGAAATTACGAAGATGCATGATGTTTCCCAAATGAAGTTAATTTTGGGTAGCAAAAATTAGAAACTTTATCAATGTCGACCCTTAAAGAAATTATGTGCGATTGCTTCTTAATTATGTCTACCTCAGACATTTTGCTGCAGACACTTGCATCTTTGCTAGTGTCATGCATCGGGCCTAAAGTTAGCCCAAACCCACTTTTCTTTTTTACTATTTCAAGGCGTAATGAAGCTGCTTTACTTTTAAAAAACAAATAGTAGACTATTTTTCTTACGTAAAACTATAATTTTTTAAAAACATAGAAGCAAATACAATAATAGTAGAAAAAACGAAAGAATATAATAGCAAGGAAGAATGGTTGGCAGCAAAGCAATCAGGCAGGATATTTTGTGCCAACTACTTCCAATCCAAGCTTACTTAAAAAAGCCATCTCAATGGGCCATATCCCCAGTGGACTGCTACTTGATTGGGTAAAAAAATTGACTTCTCAAAGTCTAGATTGAAAGACCCTGGGCATGATTGCAGTTTTATGGCCCAATCAAATTCTTCATCATTCATAGGCCTCTAAATCTAATGCCACCAATTCCCTTCAATGGCACTCCTCTTCACTCCCACTATTTCACGAATCACTTTGTCATCATTACCTTAATTGTGCTGTTTGTTATTGTTAATACTTCACTTCAACTACACTCTTTTTGAACTCTAAACTAGTATTGATTCTAAAGGATGTGTACTTTAGATAATAACTTTTAATCACAAATATAAAATATGGACAGAAATAGAGTCTGAATTAGCATCTTTCTTAAGTTATCAAGTGAGAGTAGCCGATTTTTCCCACTTCACCTCAGAAAAATGCGTGTCAAAAGAGAGTTTCACTTATGAAAATTCTATTAAATTTATACCCCATCAGAAATGAAGGATAAAACTTACAGATTCACATAGCTTGAAGGCAATTCAATCTATGTTTTTTCTTCACCATTTTTGCCAAATCCGAGTTCTATTTTCTTACAAGTTAGGTCTGAACGTAAATTATCGAGTAACATATTAATAAAACTGGAAAAAAGCGAGCCATGTGAAGCAAACGCAGCAAGTTCAGGCAAGGTTTCTGTAGCGAAGTGATAAAATATATATATATAATGGAGTTGGGCTTTTGGAGTAAACCTCTCTATCACTTTTGTGGAAAAAGTACAAAATCTTAATCACATGGTATGTTAAATCCATGTGACATAATCTAGTACCAAATCAAAAAACTTCTCTGTGAGAGAGAGTGGATTATGGCTTGGATGGGTCCATGAGAGGGATCACCAACATAATTTAACATGCAAAACCACAACCATTCTTGGCATATCAAGGTAAGCATTGAATTATATATATATATATATATATATATAAAGGGTAAGCATTGAAAGATTTAGCTTATGATATGGTCAGCCACAGGAATTGACTAATAGCTAATGACTGATGTGAATAAATGGGAAGCAATTATGGATCCCTAACACAGGCATGGGGGGGCACCAATTTGACGAAACCAAACAAAATGGATGTTGAAATGGGAAGCAATCACGTGGTGCTTGTAGCTGTGTTTCAGAGAGGAAAAGAAGCTAACATTGCTGCTTTATATAATTGACATCTTATTTTGTCAGCCAACAAGTCATTTTCAGCGAACGCTGTTTTCGTTTTCTAATGATGCTCATTAGTATCAATCGTTTAGAAAGTTGCACTGTGTTAGAATTTGAGTTAGCCAGAAATAAAGAATTGCAGAAAGCAACAGGGCATCTCGCCTATCACATGGCAAACACTTCTGTAAATTATTGAGTGGATAGACTTGAAGCACATGGCAAACACACCCCAATGAGGCAATGAACAGCAATAGATCGTGAGGTTAAGGACTGGTGCATAGGAAAGGGGAGTAAAACATAACACTCTAGAGTCAGCAAAAAGAAATAATTAATATGGTCAGCTACAAGATTTAGCTTGGCCAAGAAAATTCTATTGTTAAAGGAGACCTAGTTAAAAACAGGAAGTAGTTTATCTGAATCAAGAAAACACAGCCACCATTGGGTGTTTTCCTTGAATGCAAAATTATTACAATATTGTCCATCCTGTAACATATAGGATGCCATCAGTAGTGTGAGTGAGTGTGTTATGAATAACAAGTATTGCTAGCTCTACAAGATATTTAATCATGGGAAAAAAAAGAACAAACCAAGAAACATCTTGCTAAGGCTATTTTGGTTTTGAGAAGTATCCTAGTGTATTAGGATAAACATACGGAAAAGTGCTTTTATCAGAACAAGAGTTTCGGTTCTGACCGGATCGAGTATGGAGTCTGCATAAAACCATTATTTCATCTAGAACCCATGGTACTGGTACATGTCTTATGCAAGGAAACTACTTTCTTTGGCTTTAAAAGTTGGTTGCATTATAAATAAGATTCGCACATTTGGAATAAACATACGGAAACTATTAACATACTTAAAATATATAAAATGACTATTTTTTCAAGATTTGGAACAAAATTAGAAAAAGAATAGGAAAGAAAGAAAGAAGCGTTTGCAACATATCAAGGTTACTGAAACTATAACAATTAAGTGATTAAGCCTCGCATGGGTCAAGACCTAGCCCACTGCCCACTTCCCACTTCCCCCTTCCCACTTCAGCTCTTCAAGGTTAAAAGATGTCAACTTTCAAGGTCGGGTGTTAGCCTTTGAGCAGTTGGGCTGTGCAGTCCTACCCTAAATTGATTGAAGAAGTACATACATGGTTTGGAAAGAATTTTAAAAACAAATTTGAAATCTTTTTTTCAGAATAGCGTACAGGGTATCTAATTTCTAGGAAGTCTCTTTTCGACAAAAAGAGACAACTTATTGCCCTCTAAAATGCAGTACCTGCATCGCAATGCACGCACAGATCCGGCGTGCAAATGCTTGAACACAACCTTATGGTCAAGCATAACAACGAATCTCAACAAAATTTATGGGACTGTATATTCAACAATGGAAGTTTACATCATTAGGAAAATCGCAAATTTATGGGACTGTATATTCAATAATGGAAGTTTACATCATTAGGAAAATCTCAAATTTATGGGACTGTATATTGTAATCGCTCTCAATAACTCTCATTTCTCCTAAATTCTAAACCGACCAAAAGATCTGTCATGATGCATAAAATTTTGTTCTTTTAATCTACATCATTAGGAAAATCGCAAATTACAACAAAGAATGACAAAAAAAACCAGGTAGAGAAAAAAAATGCACGGTAGGAGATGATGATTAGATGTATCTGTTAGCAGCCCTACCAACTCCACGGTGTATGCAATTCATAAATTCCTCTCCAATCTAACTCCTTTGGAAGAAAAGGATAACTGAAATGTTAATCATCAGATTCCATAGTTGGACTGTTTGAGCAGCTCTCTTGCTGATGAAGTTCTAACAATCTGGCTTCTGGATTACAGAGCCCTGCATCATATTTAATAAGTTTGTCATCAGAATACCATATATGTCTGTAGTCTGTGGAAAAATATTCAACACACGGTCTTGTGAGAAATCAAATGACGCAGTTTCATAGAAATGATTTGACAAGTTCTGCAGAAACATCTGAAGCAAGGCAGGTTTTCCTTGCAATAGAAATGAAACAAAATCACCGGGGTACATGATGATCACGTCTATAAACTAATGGCATAGATTGAACTTGACCTTGTTGATTTTGATTCTATTTCCTATATGGCTGATAAAGATACCAACCTGAACATTTGGGAATGTCCCATACTGCAATTGACGATGGTGTACACTCTGGTGCGCATAGCGCTCTGTTATCCTCGTGATTAACATTCATTGCCAGCATCCATGCACCAATTGTAACATCTTCATTGCTGAACATCCGAAAACTGATAATTCAAGAAAAAAAGTGGTGTTATATGTAATGACGTGATTGCCTCCAACCTATGCTGAGAATCTGAAAGTCTAAAAAGTTCATTAGTATATATATTATGAATGTCTACTGCCAATTTTCCAAATATAAAGTGGCATTTCATGTTTGTATGTATGCATACAACAAGCAAGCAGGGGACTACTCATGGTATGATCAACAAGTTATGTTCTTGCTATATCAAGTCAGAAGCAAGGCAAGCCCCAAACAAGCTTCAATGGGTCATGGCCCTGGTTAAGTCAACCAAAAAAAGCTCGTTAAATATCTAATCCAACACAGCCTTTTCTTAGGTGGCTTAGACTTTGTGCCTCATTGTGTCAGCTTGATTGATCATACACTTTGATTGAAGTGAACAATAATCTTTTTGGCTGCTTTATTTATTAAAGATAAAAAATAAAAACCCCTCGTTTTCTTTGACATGAAACTGCTTTTCTACCATGAAGAATTTGTAAAAAAACAACATATATAACAACTACAAAGATTAACAGCAAGGAACATTTTATGTGGTGAACAAAGCTTACAAACTTAACTGAAAGCAAGGAATTGTGTGGAATGCATATGTGCTTGAGAGAGAGAGAGAGAGAGAGAGAGAGAGAGAGAGGTAAAGTATTCTCTCTATATGCCTGCCACTTTAAGTTTAAATTCAAGGTTGGGCTTGGGCAACGTCACCCCAAGCTCGCTCCAACCACTAAAAAATGAGCTCCACTGCCCCCTCCATCCTCTTGAAATTTGTAGTTTTTCTTGTTTTCAAGAATTGTGTTATCTTCCTTGTGTTAAAAAATCGAAGAGTTGAGATAACCTTCTGATCAGAGCGAAGAAATACATGGCAGGGAAGAAATATGAAAGATTTAGCAAGCAATGTTGACTAAGTCCAAGACCTCATAGTAGATAAAGCACAGTGCATGGTTATATCCCTCATATAAAATAATATTAAATAAAATGCCAGCTACCTTTTGGATGCAAACAATCGAGGTGGAAAGGTTCTTAACCATTGTAAGTAACATATAAAGTCGTTCATTTTTGCTGAATATGACCTAACAAGTCAATCACAACGAAGTTCCAGAGCAGTGGCAGAGCTCGAGCAATGTTTGAAGGGGGAGAACTATATATGATATAAACTCAAGCAACTGAAAATTCCCAAATATAAAAATTGTGGAATATCTAATTTAACAAATGAATTACGTAAAAACATTCTCTAGGCATAAGAAAAGGTAAAGCATTTCACATGACTTTCTACACTAAAGTTGGTCAATATGCTGTCATGGAATTAAATTGGTTTTCTACTAAGATTATGTAAAGAGTTCTAATGACTAAAGAGGTCTATAGTAAAAATAAATCCCTGACATACGAAAAGTAAAAAAATTTAAGTCAATAAATAAAATTTTAAAATATTGATAAATCATAATTTTTTTTTTTGGTACAAATAAATCATAATTTTGTGACAATAACATACCCCTAGTTTCTTCAATAATTAATTAAAAAAAAACATAATTCTAATTTCAATTATAATAGACCAACTTCTTTGATTTTTTTTTTTTTAATCAATGTACAATTAGAAAATGAAAAATAAAGAGTCATCTAGTGTTAAGAAAGTGTGAAAAACAAAGGAATATTGGTTTGCAACAAGTTGAGAGAAGGAAAAAAAAATACACTCTCACTTTTGAATTTTATATAATTAAGGATGTTTATGTAATTTAAAGAAATTGAAATCAACAAGGACACCAGGTAAGAAAGTATAGCTTGTCAAAACAAACAAGTTAAGAAAGTATTCTTGCCCATATTTGTTTTGCTAAATTTCAGTTACTACTGTGACAGGATTTACTTGCATGTGATGGCTACTATTATATCAAGACCCGATATATTGGCATAATATCATCACAAAACATTCATTTGTTTGACATCTTGGTTTGATTTTTTTTTTTTGGAATGTGCAAGTACTTTATGTTGGAAAGGAACTAAAATGTAAGTGGAAAAGGAAGGAAGGCACATTGCACATATACTATAACCATATAAATAGAAATAATTTTTGGCAGGGGTGGCAAAGGTCCCCCTATGCCGTTGTGCCAAAGTAACATAAGATCATTCATATGGTGCATGCACCATCCAAGCAAAGAGAGGAAACACAATAAAAATTAAAAAGTTGAACAAAAAAAGCAAGAGATTTATCCCTAAACGGTGCAAAAGCCAATAGCTCTTGAAAGGCATATCAGAGCTGCACAGTCAGCTACATGTCCTTAGAATTGTATATCATATTCTAAACAAACTTTTCAAGGCTGTCCAAACACTTAAGGGGATGTCCTGATAAAAGTAATAAGCAAACTCACCTGTTGTTTCTAAGAGCAACTAAACTTGCAACAACGTCGGCAGAAAGAGCATATAATGGACCATACGCATGAAGAAAGTACTCCTTCCCAAGCAAATAGGATAATGGTTCATACCTGCAGAAACCAAGATTATATGATTACTGCAAAAGTCATGGCTGCATATAAATTGGGATGCTACCCTAAGACGCTTCCAAATAGTGTACTTAAAAAGGAAGACTTTGAAGTGGATCTAATTACTGTATGCTTATGGAACTAAATTTAGAAAATTGGAAACAAAATAAACTAAATTTAGAAAATTGGAAACAAAATAAAGCCGGATGATTGGGCTTCAAATAGACTCCAAAACCCGGTAAAGATTAAAGCCTAATCCTACAGAACATCAAACCATGATGTAGATTCTACTTAAATAATTAAAAATTACCAAGAACAAACTTTTCGCAGCAACAGCACCATGAACAGCAGCATTGCTGTGGATTAGTAAACAGGTCCTGCTATAGTATCACTTCAGTAAGGTGACTTTAACTCGACTTTGAAGTAAAGATTGTTAAATCTAGTAAGAACAAGATTTAAACAACCTAAATTCAAACATAATTGATGTAGAAATTGTCATGTTATATATAGCCATGGTTTACAACTTAAGAAACAAAAGAGGAAAATGAACTTTACCATTTTAGCTTTGGATCAGTGAAAACTGGCCCCTTTTTCAAGCATCCAAGGTAAGTTTGAGAGTGAGTACGCTCTTTTGCCAAAAGAGTTGAAAGACGATCTGAAAATATATTAAAAGACCAAGGTGATCTATATGGAACTGCACTATCAAACCAAAGTTAATCTCCAGAACAATGCCACTGAACAACAACAAACATCAACAAGTTTCACATTTTTCCCACCTGGCCTCAAATATATGTCATCATCAGCTTTAACATAAAAGTCGGAATCAAAAAGTGCATAGGCAGCTTTAAAGAATGCTAACCTGCCAAAAAAAAAAAAAAAAAAAAACAGATGAGTACAATTATTCAACAATATAATCGATGAAAAAAAAGTAAGAAAACTATGCAGTTCATCATCAGCACTAACGTTTTATATGGGAGCTTACTATACTGTTCCTCGATATCTAATAACAAGAAATCATCATATTCTGCAATCTCCTTTTTGAGCTCTGCCATCTTCAATTTATCATTAGTTCTACCAATAATAAACCTGAATGCTAAACCAGTAGATTCTTCCAACCTGCAAGCCAATTAATTTATAAACTGCCAAAATTTGATGCGAAGAAAAGGCCTTCTACAAGTTACTGGTTTTCGGCAATTTCCAAAAAATGGACAATGACAGTCCGTACATCAAAGAGTTGAGCAACAACAACATATATCACAAAATACAAATCATCTGACTAGACTATGATGTACAGATTGTTCAAGATCACAGTCACACCTCTTTCTACATTTTATTATACTCTAAACATGGGCCAATTGCATTCTCAAATGCATAGTCACCAAAGAAAAAACACCAAATTCTCAATCGTTTCTCTTTTCTCGAGAAGCGTGATATGTTTTCTTGAAATTTTGAAACTTGAGATCTTTTCTTGCTGAATGCTAAAATATATCGAACATCAGTTACAAATCAACATTGTTTCTTTCCGTTAAGAGTTCGTTTATTGTCAATGAATTAAAAAGATATGAAATCCTAATCCACGAAAGAAGAAAACCAAGAATTCAAGCTCAAGTATGCGATTTCCAAATCTATAAGCAAAAACCTACCAAGATTCAAACAATAACCACCAAGAAAGAAAGAGAATTAAATACCGGTGAAGTCCCTGACGATCGGAGGGCATCCAAGTCTTCCTCAAAGACCGCCTCCGACCCGATGACCCGAACCCAGTTTGAATCCCAACAAACCCCATAACCTTATGCCTCTCTTTCCTTTCCTCACCATCCAAAACGAAGGCGTTTCCACCACCATTACTATTCTTGTTGTTATTGGTTTCCCAGACTACACGGACCGATCGCGGCGGGGATTTATTGAAGCAACGGTAGGTGTGAGAGGAGGAGGTGAGAAAAGAACTGAGGCCAAAGATGAAACCAGAGATCCCAATGAGAAGGCAAGAGAGGATCAGAGCCGTTGATCTGCGGGAATTCAGGGGCCGTGGTAGCCGGGAGTGAAAGAATTTAGGATAAGAAGGCATTTCTTCTGAATTTGATTAAATATTACTGGAAAGAATGTTTAAGTATTGTTTGGTTTATAAAAGAAGAAAGACCATTGTCTTGAGATTGTTGTTGAGGTTACTTTGTTTCTAAGTATGAGTTTTTAGTTAGTAGTAAAAGAAAGAAAGAGTTGTGTCGAGTAAGAAGAGAAGAGAGTGAAGGGGAATCGTTTCTTTCCGTTATTGGTTGTTAACTGAATCCGACGTTGTTAAGTAAATTTTAAACTAGTCCCTCTTGTTTAGGGAAACGAATTAATTAGTCTATTTAAAAAAAACTAATTATTTAATCAATCATGTTTTAATTCGATCAAGAACTTAATATTTTCATCATTTTTTTATTACATCAGTAATTTATGTTTTTGAATTGCCCTTCTTTTGACTTTTAGTTGAGAAGAGAGAAAAAATGAATAAAAAAGAAAAATAAGGCATCAAAAAATGATAATTTGAAAAAAAATCATTAATTTAATGAAAATCTGATGAAAGAATTAAGTTGTTGAGAAAATTAAAACATAAAAGATTAAATAATTAATTTTTAAATATAGGATTAATTAATTGGTTTTTTTTTATAAAAAATTAGAAGGACTAATATATAATTTACTCGAAATTGTTTGCAATTTGTTATCGTACCTTATTTATTGTTGATTGCATCACCTCATATACGTCACAAGGGATTCTAGAATGCCTATCATCCGTAGCATCATCAGCTATATTTTAAAAGGATGATTTAAATAAATTAATTATACCGAAGGGAAAAACATTAGCAGGTACACATCTTCTACGCATCCTCATAGTATTGGTATAATTCTAACAACTACTAGGCAATTATATTTGAATTTAGTGAGTCTTTTTGTGCTATTATATTCAAACTAGTTGTCAGAGTGCGAGCTTCCCACATGATTTGACTTGGATTAAGTTTTTATTTAGTTTTCCAATCTAATTCTTAATTTATATTTGTTAGCTAATTAACGAAAGGAAAATATACATATTTTTTACTATACCAATTAATATTATAACTTTCAAGCAAGATATAAAACTTTTTTAACCTTTTCAATAATAATAGTTAAATTTTTTTAAAAGTAATCTTTTCTCAATGTATACTAAATTAGTTTTATTATTCTATTACCAACTGTAATAACTCAATTTTAATCTTTAAATTTTATAAATTTATTTAAAAATCCCAAAAAAAATGCATATTTTTATGATTTCTTCGATTTTTTTAATGTTTATTCATTTTGTGATTTTAAGCATTTTTATATATTTTTCTTTAATTTGGATAAATAGTGAGCATGAAGGATGTCACTATATGACATCATACGGGACTAAAAAAATTCTAGGTTTTCGAGTTGTTCCAAGGATGCGAGTTATATTTGAATTTGGAGTCGCCACCTAGTATTGAAGGAACCAAAAACTTAAAAATAGCATTGGTCTAGAGATTCTCGAATAAGGAGTTGGTTACGTTTTAGGACGATATCGATCACCCAAAGATGCCATTTCCTAAAAACAACACCACTTCTAATTTAGTTCTAAATTTATATCTTAAAGGTATTTTGTTTGTGCTAAGTTATTTTTGATTTAAACTCCAATTTTTTGAGCCAATTTAAATATTGATCGCCTATGATTCAATAGAGAATCGTCATCGATCCCTAAGAATTAGGAGACTCGATAATTCACCTATCATTTAGCTGTCTAAACTAATTGTAGAAACCAAAAAAATTTAAACTAAAGTATGCATTTGTTTTTTTTTTTTTATCATTTTATATTTCATCATCATCATCATCATTATTATTTCGATAGGGAATCATCATCGGTTCCTAAAAATTAGAAGACTCGACAATTCATCTCTCATTTAGTTATCTAAACTAAATAAGGAAAGGAAAAAAATTTAAGTATGCTTCCTTTTTTTGTTTATCATTTTATATATTCATATGTATATTTTGTCGATAGAGAATCGCCATCGATACTTAAAAATTAAGAGACTTGAAAATTCATCTATCATTTGGTTATCTAAACTAATTATGAAAAAATTAAAAAAATTAAAATTAACTAAGTAAAATTCCAAGAAGAATAGAATATTAAAATTTAAATTAAATAAAAAATAAATGGATTTTGCGTATATCGAAACCCCGAATAATTTGAATTTTTTTGATTGAGACCCTAATTTTTTTTCTTGCCCAATTTAAGTGTTATACTCTCTTTTTTTGCTGTTTTAGACTCCAATTTGCCACATAAGCACACGTGACAAGGTCTACCAAATGACAGATTGACACGTGACAAAGTGAGTCCAAATTGATTTTTAACGAAAATAAAAATAATTTTAATGGATATTTAATTATGTGAGTAATAATAAACCTACAAATAAGTTATGAAAATACAAATCTACCCTTACCCACTTAACCCAAAACTTTCCCAAATTACTCCCTCTCTCTCCATTCGTTTTAGTTTTTCTCGCTTGTTTCTTCTTCGTTCCTACCTCCAATTCCATTCAATCCCAATTTCTCCTTCTCCATTATTCCCCATCATTCTTGAATCCCTAAGTTCTCAATTATAAACTCTAATTCTCATTCTCCTAATTTTGCCAAACCCTAAACCTTCATTCCCCATCATTCCCGAATCCCTAATTTTCCAATTATAAACCCTAATTCTTAGTCTCCTAATTTTTCCAAACCCTAATCCTCATTCTCTATCATTCTCGAATTCCTAATTTCCTAATTATAAACCCTAGTTCTCATTCTCCCAATTTTGTCAAACCCTAATCCTCATTCCCCATCATTCTCGAATCCCTAATTTCCTAATTATAAACTCTAATTCTTATTCTCCCAATTTCGCCAAACCTTAATCCTCATTCCCATCATTCTTGAATCCCTAATTTTCCAATTACAAACCCTAATTCTCATTCCCTCTTGACCTTTCCTCTATCTTTCTCCTTCGTTGCGTTTTCTAATCCCTAATTCCTAAATTAAGATTCCAAAATAGAATGACTTTATCATCAACATCCTCTTCCTCTTTCAAGCATTCTTCAATTTGTGCTCTTAGTGATGAAGAATAACATCGGAATGAGAAAGAACCAGCAATTTTGTGTTATTGTGACATGAAAACAAGTAAGGCAATGTTTTAGAGTGATGACTACCCAAGTGTAGAGTATTATGTTTTTGCACTCCGATCCAAAGCTAAAAGCGAGTAAAGATGTTGGGTACGATTTTAAAGTGTGGCTTCGGAATGTGTTAGTTGGTAGAGCTAAAGATATTATTTTGGATTTACGAAATTGACAACAAGAAATACATGCTGAGAACTCAAGATTGATTTTGAAGAATGTTAGATTGAATAAAGAAATTACTATGTTAAGAAGTGAGAATAAAGAATTGTTAATTGAATTGGAGACTCGTGAGAATTGAGAACAATGCTTACAATGAACAAAAAACGAAGGAGAAAAATCTACTATTAGAGATAAAAAATCGAAGTTGAGTGATGTTGATTTAATGTTGTTTAAATCTAGAATTAATAGAGTTCTCAAGCAATTTTGTATAATAATTTTCATTGTGATTGTAAAATTTTGGGTTTGATTATATGAAATGGATAACAATTCTTTACCTTGTGAATGTATTTTGAAAAATAGTACTATAGGTTTTAGATAGAGGCTAAGCTGGAACACTTTGTTTTTAAAGGTGTTTGACTACTCATGGGTTATTGTTTATTCTTTTCTTTTCTTTTTTTTTTTAATGAAAATGGGTTACTCGTTTATTCTAACTATTTTATAAACTTTACTTAGAAGACATTATGTTATTGTTTAATTTCTTAGATCATTCGTATTTTACTATTAAGGATATATGCTCTCGACTTACGGTGGATCAATTGATCGTTTTTTGCACATTTTCATTTTTGATTTGATTTGGGCAATTGCTGGCACGTTAATTAGCTTACACCTTTTATTTAAAAAATTAATAATGTTATGTTACTTCGCATGGACATAGTGGTTAGAGTCTTCATTTCGTTATCCTCGCCTTTGTGGTTTTTTATTGTCATTTGTATTTTCCTCGAGGACATTGCAATAGAGGAATCTATTATATTTTCTCCTAGATTATTAGCCGATTATATGGTTTGGTTAGGAGAACTAAAGCGGTCATCTTACTTTCGGTGTATCGAGCCTTCGGCTCTTCTTGGTTTGATGCCCTTCAAGATGTGATGAACGATTATCCACTCATGTTTGCATTTTTTGCTTTGCCCCAAAAATACATGGTTAGCATGGTCTATTACACAAATGAGATTGTAGGAGTTTTATATGAGGTCAGCAACAAATTAGAAAACCTTCGTTGTTTCTCTTGCATGGACTTAATACCGATAGTAATGACTTCTCAAAACCGAGTAGAGTTTGAGGTTCTTATATTTAGCTCCTTCTTATTTTACATGTTTAACTCACATAAGAGCTATGAAATCTATAATCATGAAATAAATGTCAATATTCTTTAAAATTGTATTTCATGTGATATGAATAATTTCGAATCTTACATATGTATTCTAGAACATCATAAGTTGAAAAATTACATGTTCTTAACTATCAAGCATTCATTATCAACTCATGACATATTACATGTTATTTAACAACATTCAAATATCTAATAACACTAAGATAATAGTACATGTTCTTTTTCCTAATACTTGCTTTTATGACCCTTCGGCCTTGAGAGTTTGATCTAGTCACCATTTTCTTTTTTAAAAAAATTTCAATAACCTTCTTCTTGCTATTTTGCCCGGTTCTATCGGCATCATTCATATTCGAAGATGCAACCCCGATCTTTTGCTTTCCCTTCCTCTAAAACAAAACAAACAATTCAAATAACAAACAATTGGTTCTATCAATTGCATAACCAATTCAATTTCCAATTAAAAAAATGAAATTATCTTTTATACCTAATCAATGGTGATAGGTTCTACCATAACAGAACCAATTCCATCAAAAGCAACTCCAACATTCTACTTTCTTTTCC